GATTGATATCAGATTCACCATCTCGATCTCTCTGGTTATCTTTCTTCTTTCTCCTCCGTCTCCGTAGTTTCTTGGGCGGAGGTTCCTCTTGTTGTGCCTCCTGACCTGCTGTGGCCTCGTCTTCATGCCCCACACCTGACAGTATGCGATGAAGTATCGTAGCCAAGCCGTCTGGTCTTGGTAAACATCTCCCGTCATCATCATTCACCTTGATGTAGGGTATGTTGTCATGCACCGATAGCGGAATCTTGTTCGCGTTCTGGTCGATGAGGTATGGCAGTTGATTTGCCGGCCATATGAATGAATACCCTTGTTCCATGCACCTCTTCCCGATGGAAAAGACTGATGGTGTGCTCTCCAACACGTGTGCCTCAGACATCATGGGTAGTTCGTCCACATTGATGTCCACCATCTCTGATGTACTAGTTACACCATTCGCTGTCATGAAGCTCACGGATTTGGGTCCTTCCTTGGTGGTAAGGCCCATGGCGTTGACCTTCTCTCTTGAAATCAAGTCGTGTCCACATCCCGTGTCCATGATGAAGCGTATCGGTGGTCCATCATACCTCTCCACAGCCATGAACATCGTGTCTCCCGGTATCGTGTAGTTGATAGAATCCTTCTTTACTACCTCGCTGGTACTGAAGTCAGACAGGTCGACGTTCACCTCGATTCCTTCATCTTGAGTGATTTGTATCCATGCCTTGGCAATGTGTTCAGCTGAGTATAGTTCCATCATCTTACCCTTGGCATGTGCTACTCGTGCAGCTATATGGTTCACTCTGAGGGCTCTCAACGACGAAATGAGCTCGGTATCCACCTTCTGCACCTCATCGTTCTTCTTCCTGAGGGGACGGGTATTTAGCTCGTTACCAGGATCACAGGTAAACGTGGTCACATTCGCCCGGTCATCAAATCTGACTTTAAAGCGAAGCGCCAGCTTACCTTGTTGTATGTTGGGAAGTGCTGGTCGCGCGTCCTCGCCATCACTCTCGATGTCTCCGCAAAGCATGAAGGCTGGCGCAGCCGGTTTGGGTTTGGCTTTGCCTTTAGCCTCTTGTTTCGTAGCGGGAGCAGCGTGATGCTGACGTCGACACTTGTCACCGAACTTGCACGATCCTTTCTGCCAGTTCCAACAGACCTGATCCTTCATTGGCTTAGGGCTAGTGCTCCTGCCACCCGGACTCTTTGATCTGTCACCCTTGAGGCTTTCTGGTTTCTTAGCAGAACTTTTGTGCTTCTCTTGGTGACTAAACTTGCATTTGTCTCCTCTAGAACATCCGTTTTTCCCATGGAAGTGGAAGGCGCATCCTATCTTGGACGTATCTGCTGGAGTCGCTGACCTGCCACGATCCCCCTTTGGGCTCTTCGTGGTTGATCTTCCACGATCCTGCTTCTTGTCCTTCTTGTTGTGGTCCTTCGGATTAGCCTGAGGAAGTACAGGAGCGGCGTCCTTCGGTGGATCGGCCTTGGTATTCTTGGGTTTCGCTTTAGGGTCCTTCTTCTCCGCAGCTGGTGTGGCCTTCACGAGGTTCCCGAAAGCTTTTTCCCTTTCTTTCTTGTTTGTGGTCTCAATTGATTTCCGTATCCACTTCGCCATGATCTCTCGTAACTTCTGATAGGTCTTATCCGGATCCTTATCCAACATGTTATCGTACACAGACAAGTCTAACGCCATAACTTTGGAATCCTTAATCTTGTCCCAAAGCAGGTTGCGGAGTGCTTTGTCAGGAAGCATGTCATCCGCATCCATACCCGATAAGATCTCATCCCACTGTCCAAGGAATCTGGAAAGTTGATTATCCCCAGGGAATTTTAGATCGAATAAGTGCTTAGATGCATACATCACATCGACGTTGTCGGCACTCCGAAAGCTATCGACGATCAACGCTAACATTTCTCGTCCCTTAACCATTCCCGGAGTTGCGCCTCTCGCACGTCTCTGCATCATCTGCCTCACCTTCAGTTGTACGTCATGAGATCTCTCACCTGCTGCGTGGATGATCGTGTGTAGGGTGATACCTAGCTTAGCATCTATGCTAGCGAATCTTGCTTCGCCCGATGTCTCGAGCAGAAATGGGTCATATGGTGATTTGAAGGCATCCGAGAGCCACTGGATCCAATCTTCTTGTCTTTCGTCGCCCGATGCCGTCACGACTGCCGCTACAACTTGGGATTTCCAAACCTCCAAGTCGTGTATCTTGGGCCATGCAGGGATGTTGATCTTCTCGTGTTCCTTCCGAGATATCTTGGAGCCACCCGAGCTAGAGGATGAAGCGGCACCATGTTCGGTTGCAGCTGCATTCTCAGCGTTCATGCGCTCCTCTTCATACCTCCTCCGGTACTTATTCCTCTCATCTCTGAGTCGTGCTGCATGTGCTTCGAACTCCATCATGTCCTGCTGGTTCTGCATCATACCTTCGTAGTACTCCATCGCCTCTTTCTCCTCGGACCTTAATGACTTTTCGGTGCGTTCAAGTTCCGCTCTAAGCTTGGTCATCATCTCATTCTCCACATTGGATTCTGATCCCATGTCTGGTGGTTTCATCTTCAGTGCGACTTTCAGCTGTGCTTCACTCGCGCTTGATTCGATCAATTCTTCCTGAAGACGTTTCAGCATCCTCTCTTTACGTAGAATGTCTTCTTCCAACATGTTCATCTTGACCTCAGCTTTCTTGAGTTCGACGTTGGATGGTTGAGACGGTCGATCGGATCCTTGAATCCTCGCCTGCGTCAACTCCTCGTTCGCCCTCTTCAATTGCTCTCTGATGGTCATGATGAAATTGTCCTGATTATAAGATCGGTTGTTGAGCTCCTCATTCTCTTCTGATAACCATTTGATCTTGCTTGCGTACATTGCTTCCTTCATCTTCATCTCCTCAGCATATTCGTGTTTGTTCCTGACACTCTGCCTTTGTAGTCCAACTATCTCCTGTCTATACAGATCCCTAATGTTCTCAGCATCTGCGACTGCAGTCATGAGCTCGGTCACAGCTCGATCTCTTTCCGCCGATATAGCCTGGATCTCTTCCGTGCCGATGTTCACGACTTGACTAACCATCTCTGCGCTGTTGCGATCAGCGTACTCCCCTAACTGGGTGAGACGATCCCGCATTGCCACACGATCAGTGTCAATCTGGTATTGCAAATCGTGTGCTGCTGAGAGCAAACAGTCTCTGGATTCTGTAAGTTGGGAGATTCTTCGTTGATTTCCATACCCTTCGACATAACATTCTTCGAGGTGTGCCATCACTACTTCGTGGACTTCGGTCTCGTGTTGTATAATCTGGTTCTGTCTCTGCTCACATTCGACCATCCATGCGTTTTGGTGGTTCAACATATGCACTTCGGCAAGTAGTTGCGCACACTTCGCATTGAGGTCTCCATCGGCCCGTGCTAGTTGTAGGTTGTCAGTGCTTGCCCTTGCTCCATCTCCAGCTTCGCTGTCCGACGGCACTGGTATAGTTGACCCATCCTCCAATGCTAGCACTCTCACAGCTCCGGTGTCAGTTCTCCTCCTTGTCTCCCTAGGGCTACGGCCCGATCTCGGTGTCCCCCCCGGTGGTGTCGAGTGCGCTGACGGGGAACGACTTCGTGCTCTACCTGTCGCACCTTCTCTCACCACTGTCAGAGTCTCCGCTTCGACCGTACCTGGACTAGAGTTGTGGGATGCACTCATCCGATCTGCGGCCGCAGCAGCTGCCCCAAAGGATGCAGTGCTGGCGTCGGATTGTTCCATCTTGAGTGACTGAGGGTAACTGATCTATCCGATGCGTGTGCGTTTAGATGGTGTTGTGTAAGGCCGTAGCTCGTACCCAGCTCAAAGGAGTCTGGATACGGCTGATAACCTGCGAACGGATGAAAAGCGTGCCCCTGGCCCCGTTCTAGCCCTTAGTTTAACATGAAGCTCGCGCGCAAAAGCTCCTTTTTACCTGGTTGGGCACTTGAGCCAAAAGTATATGGCATGTACCTGTATAGCGACTATACTGAGACCTCATCCCTATTGACAATCGTCGTAGTCCTAGTCCTAGTCCTAGTCCTAGTCCTAGTCCTAGTAGTAGTAGTAGTAGTAGTAGTAGTAGTAGTAGTAGTAGTATAAGTTAATAGTATTAGTTAGTAGTATTAGTTAGTAGTATTAGTTAGTAGTATTAGTTCGTAGTATTAGTTCGTAGTAGTTAGTAGTCGTTAGTAGTAGTTAGTAGTTAGTAGTTAGTAGTTAGTACTGGTTAGTGGTTAGTGGTTAGTGGTTAGTGGTTAGTAGTTAGTAGTAAGTAGTAAGTAGTAGGTAGGTAGGTAGGTAGGTAGGTAAGTAGGTAGGTAGGTAGGTAGGTTCGTTCGTTCGTTCGTTCGTTCGCTCGGTCGTTCGGTCGTTCGTTCGTTCGTTCGTTCGTTCGTTCGTTCGTTAGTAGTTAGTTAGTAGGTAGTCGTCGTCGTAGTAGTAGCAGGAGGGGGAGGAGGAGGAGGAGGGGTAGTAGTATAGTAGGGGTAGTAGTCAGTAGTGGTGGTAGCAGTAGTAGTGGCAGTGATATTAGCAGAGGTAGCAGCAGCAGCAGCAGAAACAGTTAAGCGGCTTCTAAAGCCGCCTATACTTTGTGCGTTGGCTTTCGCAAAAGCATGTGAGTTTACAGCTTGCACACTTTTCATCATAGAGTCATAGAGCTTTTTGAAGTTGCTCAGTTGTTCTTGTTGTTGATGCGTCGGTCCCTAGTTGAAGTGAACCTAACAGGCATATAACATTCAAAAACATGCATTTTCAACTTCTTCGCGCCAGTGTAGATTGACGGGGTCAATAATAGCGATGGCCTCGAACCTACTTACTTAGCGATGGCCTCCAACCTAATAGCGATGGCCTCCAACCTACTAGCGATGGCCTGCAACTTACTTGCTAGCGATGGCCTCCAACCTACTTACTAACGATGGCCTCCAGAGAAACATTCAAAATATAGATATTTCTTGTCATCGACTTTGCTTGCAAAATCAGCGTTTTCCCTTTTCCCTGCCTTGCAGCGAACATGTCGTCTGAACCGGGGGCAACAGGGGCTGGTCGGCCTTGCGCTAGGCTCCAAGCGAGAAACACCACGCATCAGTGCCGCATCAGTGGCATTGTTTCAACCATCTTCCCGCTGCTCCTAGTAGCGTCCTTGCTCCTAGTAGTAAGGCCAGGAGCCCCTAGTAGCTCGCTCCTAAGCGAAACGAAAGCGTCAGAAAACAATTCCCAACGAATGATCAAGTAGACGGCCCGTTTTCACACAAGAGAGTCTGCATCAAACTTGCAGACACATGTGTGAAGTCATGCTGGCTTTCCAATACAGGGCACTTATCTTTATTCGTTTGCACCTTTGTTTCTGCGAATACTAACAGAACAAGGACGTCGATGAAGTCGATGAGAATGGTGCAACACCAGTTCTGGTGATGACCATAAATATCTTGCCCCCGCCCAAGACGCACAATCATGACCGGCAACAACAACAACAGTGACATGGATGATCATGTGACCAAACCAAAGATAAGGCTCTTACCCTAATAACAACGCTGAGCTATTGGTAGCATGCATAATTTCTTCTGATGGCTCATTCAGGGTGGCTTGAACCTCAACACCCTGGCCTCGCGCTGCTGGGTAAGCAGAGACTTTGTCCTCAAAGAAGGAACATAGAAAGAAGGAATCTGCAATCTTGCTGTATCCATTATTCTCTTCATGACAAGGGCTACGTTCAAGCTAATCAATTGAAGGAAAGCTGGGTAGCAAGCGACAGGTGGTGGAAGTGGCAAGTCTCCGAACCAAATCACCAGAACCGTCTTGTCCTTAACGAGAAATCTCCAATCACTCTGGACGGGCAGTCCGCAACTAGGTTTGCCGGATGTTGACTGCAAAGACTTCCCTACCAAAAAGCTACTAAGATCGGAAAGCACTGAAATGCGCTGTAGAGTAGAGTAGATCTTTTGTGAAGACAACCTACTGCAAGCATAGTACTGGCTACTTAATGGCGTTTCATTGCATTTCTGTGTCTTAAGTTTTGGACATCGCTAGCAGCTTGGAGGCCATCGCTACTAGGGTGGGAGGCTTCTTCTTGCAATACTAAGTTTTCAGACGTCATGGCCATCACGGTGATGTGCCACTTCCAACAGCTGCCGCGCCGCGTTTGCAGCTGGATCCTGAAGCCACTGTCTTTGAGAACGTGAACTCGATTATCTGCAAAAGTACGTTTTCTTTTTTGGGGACCTTTCTTATGCTGTTGATTGCTTTTCTATGTTGTGCAATGGATTGTAAAGTAAAGCAACTAGGTCGAACGTTCATGAACAAACGCTTCCTCTTAGTCAAACCTCCGACCTCGCCACCCTCTCGGAGGACGCTGGCGACGATGCGAACTGCCTGTGCCGTAGGACGTGTGACGTAGAAGCAAAACTAAAGTTGAAAGAACAAAAAGAGGCTTAGCCTAAGTGAAAACAGTGTTTTCTGTTTTTCGAAATAAATGTTTCAGTAGAATCAAGTAGGTAGCTAATCCTAGAGTAGGGAGTTACCTACATGCCTTGGAGAAAAGGAACCTCGAAATAGTCTTTATGTCCTTTCCTGTCAAAGAAGTTTAAGTCCAAGGAAAGAAGGCATTAAGAAAGTATTGTATAAATTGCATGATTCTTTCTTTTAAGAATGCGTTCTTGACAAGACTTGACAAGTCATTAGAGCAGTCACTAAAGCCTTTCGTCTTTTGAGTTGACAAGTGCACGAATGAACAGAGCTCAGCTCGGCCTCACCATCAGTGACCGGACCCCACACCCCATCGCTGGCGATCACCACAAAGCAATCCTCGCGATCTCAAGCCCGACCCCGCAAGCCGAAGAATAAGGTTCTTTGGACAAAACAGACATAAAAAGCAATAAGGTTCTTTGGTCTAAGGTTGACGAACAAAAGCAAGACATCAAAAAGATCAAAAGAACAGGAGTATGATGCTGTACAGGTTGATTATGATTCCCCAGACTGGAATGAAGTGACTGCTCCACCAGCACAAAATAGCACAAAGTGAGTCCTCTCGGAGATCCAAAGTGGAAATGAAAATGTCCGGCCTCACTTTGTCATAAGTCACTTCCAACACACTTTGTCAAAGTGTCTCAAAGACTGGTCTCGCTTCACTTTGTCTGAGAAGCCAACACAGCACTCACGACCTCACTCTTCAACAAAATGTGCACTTGGAATCTCTTGATATTTCTCTCCACTCCAGATTTCTGCGATCACATAGGTCGTGGCATTTGCGCCAGTTTTGTACTCAATGTCGCCAAAGCCACGTGAAACAGAAAGGCCAGCTAGGCCTGTGCCCTCAGTTCCACTTCAACTGAAGACCGGCGAAGAGAGCATTGCTGGGCGTCAATTGAACAAAGTTAGAAGCAAGAGAATGTGTTTGATAACGCAATAAACTAAGTTGGAGGCCATCGCTCCGCTACTAGAGTGAAGGCCATTGCTATTAGATGTTTTCTAGTGATTAGACTTAAACATCCATCCGGCCTTCTTGCTCGGCAGGACAATGCGCCAAATTCCACTCGCTTGGACAACTGCCTCAAAGAATGGTGGCACGGCAAGACCGTACGTTTTTTCTTTCACTGAATAATGATAGGGGTCTAAAAACGAAGAACAAAATCATGATAAGGCCCCGTTTAAAGTTCCTTACCTTCTATTCTTCTCTTTTTAAAGACCCAACTTATTGAAGTCTAAAGTTTGTCCTTACCAGTACCTTCTATGTCTGCTATCAATGCCGTTTGAACGCTCTTCATGTTTGAGGTCCCTGGCGGCGCCCTCAGCTTCAATTCGTTTCCGCTCTCCTGGAACGTCTGGCCTTGAGGTGGAACAATGCAAAGAATGGAACTTTGCTGTGCAAAAATTCAGAACTGTCTTATTTGATGTGTTGTTCTTAAGGAACATCTTCAGAAAACCACGCAATTTAGGTTTGGATTGTCAAAAGGTGGGACCTGGGACCGTAAGGAGCAGTAAGTGAACATATGTTCGTTATGGTCCTTTGTGGTGAAGTCTTGGCACTGGAAGTTGAGAATGTGGGCCACAAGCAACATCTCTGCGCACCAGGGCAAACACGTATGATCTTCTGACAATCGAACGGCTCTGCAGTCCTGGCAAAACTGGAGCAACATCCAACATCCAACACCTTAAAGGCCCTAGTAGTGGCCTCCAAGCTAGTAGCGATGGCCTCCTAACCCAAAGCGAACACCAGTAGAGAAAGAAAACACATAGCAGTTTGGGGTCGTGCAATCCAAAACCGTTTTCGCCATTCTTGGAAATGGTTGTTTGGCAATGACAGTCTAAAAGGGATGAAAACGAATGGTGCAAGAGTCGTAAACAGGAACCCAAAGGTTTCTTCTTCAAGGTTTCTTCAAAAGAAAAGACCCAAAGGGCCACCGTCCAGGCCTTTCGTCCCAGGACTGCGCGGCTGTCTCCCGCATTGGCCACGGCTAATCGCAAACGACCGTCCTGCCCATAAAACGGTTGATGAGGTGTTTGCGATTAGCCAGGATGGTTCGAACAAGAAACTACTAGGAACAAAGGGCATCGCTACTAGGAGCAAGGACGCTACTAGGGGTTCCTGGCATCGCTACTAGGAGCAAGAAACTATTAGAATCAAAAATGTCAAAGCTGGACTTTCAGGGAAGCCTCGTCTGGACCATAAAATGTGCAGGTGCTGGCTGTGCTTCCTACAGTTCGATGGTCAGTGTCCGCAAATCACGATGTTTAATCCACATCAAACAACCTGTTGCCTGCGTTGGCCCATGCAGCCGCTGGACCTGCCTCCAACCTGAAAGCATTGGCATTCAGTTGCGCAATGAAAAATTTGAAGACGTCAATCACGGCCTGTTGGCATACTGGAAAAAATTGTGCTCGGTTGTGCGGAATGCAGCTTGCAAAGCTGACCGTATTGCCATGTCGCTGCTGACCTGCACAGGTGACAGGTGCATGTTCCTTCCAAAAGGCGTCAAAAATAGAATTGATGTGCCGCCCTACCCCCCCCCCCACATGTGCACCTCTCTTTTCGTCTGGTGTCTGATGCACTCAAAGACCTCAAACGATTTTGTGAGCAGTGTTCCTTTACTATACCCAGGCATCAGTGCTGTGTGGCTGTGTGCTGGGCAATGCGGTCCAAATTCGTGGCAACGAAGTCGCTGCATGAGGCCCCTGACCAGGTGTGCATGTACAAGAATGTTTGAAACATCGAAACACTTCCACTGACCAAGACCTGCCTGAATGGCCGTCGAAAACGCCAAAGAGTGAGACGATGGGTTTCTTGCAGCTTGCGCCTCGAAAAGAAGGCAAAATCCATGTGGGCACCTTGTCTGCATGTCTTTGGGTATTCAAATGCCTGTCGTGCGCCCCAGCCTACCGAATCGACCGGGATTCCAGCCCGAACAATCATTCGGTCCTGGACCACAGCAAATTAGGTCAAGTCATGTGCCATGGCCGCCACACATCACAAAAATAGTAACAAGTGCCTTACTAGTAGTAACAAGAAGCTTCTAGTAACAAGTGCCTTACAAGCAGTAACAAGAAGCTTCTAGTAACAAGTGCCTTACTAGCAGTAACAAGAAGCTTCTAGTAACAAGTGCCTTACTAGTAGTAACAAGAAGCTTCTAGTAACAAGTGCCTCACTAGCAGTAACAAGAAGCTTCTAGTAACAAGTGCCTTACTAGTAGTAACAAG